ATCATTATTGCTTTCCACTTCTGACATAGCTTTATTATTCGGTTCGTTGATCGCTTGTCATTTTTTCATTTGGAGATATTTTTGATTCCTTGCTCATGATGCGATATGTTGTCTAACATTCTTAATTCTATAGAAGAAAAATAGAAAAATAAAAATGGCCAAAGAAGACACTTTTTGAGCTGAAACAAATCACAAAAGACACTAATCTTCTAAAACTTGTCTTAGTGCTTTTGTCTTGCTAAACCTACATCTTGCACTTCAGTGAACGGGTGGTACACACTTAAAATTAAAATCTGTTCTCGGCAGAACCCAACAAAGACATTTTCAATCGAAAATCGTTAACCGACGCCAAAGCTGTCAACCATCACTTTCAATTGAAAGTCATTCTGTCTTCTCTTCGAGCAGATCCTCTTCAACATCAATAGAACTAAAGAGACTAAATTGGGTAGAGAGGCGACATCTTATCCATTTGACAGGTCTTTTGCTCGATTGGAATAACTTTTCTCATGATTTTGATAGACAATCGATTATTCCAATTTGAACAGGTCGTCTCTATAAATCCAGGCTCTTTAAATAGAACTACTTTCGATCAGTTTTCATGCTGTTTGTTTTGGCTTGATTCGTGTTCATTTGGTCTTTCATTGTCAAACGAACTTGCTTTCGCATTGAAGCGAAGCTGTTCGATCCAAATTCACGCAGTTTTTCTGGCTTTCGTTGATTGTTCACTCGGTTCATTTACGCGCATGCGCATAGATCTGTCATTTCTTGGTACTATTAGTTAACCAACGAAGATCAATTAATCAATAGAGTTAGAATATTGTTTTTGATTCAGAAAACTAGTCGAATTTGAGAAGCACACGAAACATAAAGGTGATTGAATTTCTGTTCGATTGCAATACTCTCAAATTCAATGTAGTAAGAATAACAAATCCTCGGAAACATTCCAATGGGAATGTTCGTTTGGCTCAGATTTTGACAGTTCATTTGGCTTAAAACATTCTCTCCGCCGAGGGGGACATCTAAATCTCAATTCTAGGTGCTCAACAAATCTCACACTAGCTAATCAATCTTCGAAAAATCTTCTTTCATTTCTCGCATCTACTTGCATCTTTTTGCAAGAAATCTTCAGAATCGTCATAAACCTTCTTACTACACAGAAAAAAAAAGTTGTTGAATATTACATCCAAACAGCTGCACAGAGGTCATTCCGTCGGATGTGTAATATTACGTTGTACGATGTACATCGATTTTGTGAACAAAATTACATCCATTGATGTTATATTGTATCTGATCTTTGCTATTACATCATTATTTCATACATCAGCTTGAATTACGTTGATAAAGCTCAAGTTTAGATGCTCAACAAATCTCACACTACCGAATCAATCTTCGAAAAATCTTCTTTCATTTGTCGCATCTACTTGCATCGCTCATCATCTTTTTGCAGGATATCTTCAGAATCGTCATCAATCTTCTTTCTATCTACTCAGCGTGCGCGCAGCTAGCCACAGCAAAACACAAGCTTTTCTGCATCGTAGATAGAGTCGTCCCCCTCGGTGTAGACTCTGTACACTGTAGAGGTTGAAAATCGATATCCGACGCCATTTGGAAATCCAAATCCAAATTCCGGCTTCCGATATAAGAAAAATAGGAAATACTATTGCCGACCCATTAATATGGGTATTTTTGGAATCGGGGTGACATCTAAAGATTTGAAATAGCTTGCGACTCCATTTTGAAATCCAAGATGGTGGCGTCTAGTTCAAGAAACTGTGGGAAATACTGTAAAATACTCATCAATATGGGTATTTTTGGAATCTGGATGACATCTAGAGACTGAAAATCGATGTCCGACGACATTTGGAAATCCTTGTTGGTGACTTCCGATTTAAGAAAAAATGGGAAATACTGTAAAATACCCCTCGATATTGGTATTTTTTGGAATCGGCATGTCATCTAGAAGCCAGAAATCGATGTTCGACGCCATTTTGAAATCCAAGATGGTGGCTTCTGGTTCAAAAAAAAAAAAAATGTGGAAAATACTGTCAAATACTCATCAATAAGGTATTTTTGGAATCGGGATGACATCTAGAGGCTGAAAATCGATATCCGACGGCATTTTGAAATCCTTATGGTGGCTTCCGATTTAAGAAAAAGTGGGAAATACTGTCAAATACCCATCGATATTGGTATTTTTTGGAATCGGCATGTCATCTAGAAGCCAGAAATCGATATCCGACGCCATTTTGATATCCATGATGTTGGCTTCCGATAAAAGAAAAAGTAGGAAATACTGTCAAATACCCATCAATATAGGTATTTTTGGAATCGGGACGACATCTAGAGGCTGAAAATCGATATCCGACGCCATTTGGAAATCCAAGATGGCGGCTTCCGATATAAGAAAAATAGGAAATACTATTGCCGACCCATTAATATGGATATTTTTGGAATCGGGGTGACATCTAAAGATTTGAAATAGCTTTGCGACGCCATTTTGAAATTGAAAATGGTGGCGTCTGGTTCAAAAAACTGTGGGAAATACTGTCAAATACCCATCAATATGGGTATTTTTGGAATCCAGATGACATCTAGAGGCTGAAAATCGATGTCCGACGACATTTGGAAATCCATGATGGTGGCTTCTGGTTCAAAAAAAAAAATGTGGAAAATACTGTCAAATACTCATCAATAAGGTATTTTTGGAATCGGGATGACATCTAGAGGCTGAAAATCGATATCCGACGCCATTTTGAAATCCTTATGGTGGCTTCCGATTTAAGAAAAAGTGGGAAATGCTGTCAAATACCCATCGATATTGGTATTTTTTGGAATCGGCATGTCATCTAGAAGCCAGAAATCGATATCCGACGCCATTTTGATATCCATGATGTTGGCTTCCGATATAAGAAAAAGTAGGAAATACTGTCAAATACCCATCAATATAGGTATTTTTGGAATCAGGATGACGTCTATAGGCCGGAAATCGACGTCAGATTCCATTTTGAAATCCAAGATGGTGGCTTCCGATTCAAGAAAAAATGAGAAATACTGTAAGATACCCATCCATATGGATATTTTTTAGAATTGGGACTAGAGATTGGAAGTATATATGCGACACCATTATGAAATCCAAGATGCTGGCTTCGAGTTAAGGAAAAAGTGAGAAATACTGTTAAATAACCATCAATATCGTTATTTTTGGAATCGGGATGACGTTAAGAGAATGAAAATTCAGTTTTTTTAGAATCTCTTCTCTTTTAAATGTCTAGAAGCCGGAAATCGATATCCAACGCCATTGTGAAATCCGTAAGTCAAATACCTTAAAATATGAGAATTTTCTGTAAGAGATGAACTAACCTATAGCTAAAAATCTCTCAAATAAAGAATTAAAAAAAGAGTTTTCTGAACGGAAATGACACGTAGATGCCGAAAATCGGTGTCAGACGCCACCTTTAAATCCAAGATGGCGACTTCTGGTTTCAGACAAAGTTGGAAATACTGTCAAATACCCATCAATGTGGGTATTTTCGAAATCCCAGTAACGTCTAGAGGCCAGAAACCGATGTTTGACACCATTTTGTTCAGAAATAGTGGGAAATACTGTCAAATACCGATCAATGTGGGTATTTTTAGAATAAAGGCCGGAAATCGATGTCCGACGCCTTATTGAAATTCAAGATGGTGGCTTTCGATTTTAGAAGCAGTATCAAATACACTACAAATGGCGTCGAATATTGATTTTCAGCATCTACGCGTCGTTCCCGTTCCGAAAATACCCAGATCTTGGGGTATGTGACACTTTTTGTGAAACCCGATGGCCGCCATAATGAATTCCAAAATGGTGTCGAATATCGATTTTCGGCATCCAAGCGTTGTCCACGATCCGAAAATTCCCATATCTTAGGGTATTTGACACTTTGTCTGAGCCCGATGGCCGCCATATTGGATTGAAAAATGGCTTTGAAAATTCCTATATTGTAGGGTATTTGAGACCTTCCCTAAGACCGATGGCCTCCATATTGGACTTCAGAATGGCCTCGTTAATTTAACATAAACTTAAGATAAATGCAGTGGGACTTTTGTCTTGGTAAATTCCCATCTTGGACCACTGTGCATTGGCTGTTCTCGGACATATTCCAGGGGTCCCGGCGAAACGACCACAATCTAATATAGACTCAAAACCATCAAACCGCATGAGAATCGATGAAAAACATCATTGGCGGTCATATAATTACTCAGAATCACATTTGAAACACTCGGACATGTTCCAGGTGCCCACGGGATTGAAGACAACATCTGACATGAGTTAACGTCCAAGCACATCAGCAATTGAAGAACAAGATCGTTAACAGTCAATATGAAATCAAGCCCAGGATCACATCGATCACACCCGGACATGCTCCGGTTGCTCCAAGGGAAGGGCCAGAATCTAACATGAGCCAAACTCCGTCCAGCGATAAATCAAATTATATTGAAATCCCGCAACCACATTGGTTACACCCGGACATCTTCTAGGTGCCCTCGAGGTAGTGGATAATGACATAATTCATTCCGTTCCTAAATGCGGAATCGAGCATTTTCGTTGGATCATAAATTTTTAGAAATGTTCAGATCTCACCATAGAATGCATTCAATTTTAATATCTATCATATAACTTATACACTTAATTAATCAAAAACTTCGAAAATATTAAACAATCGCCATTGAAAAATTAAATGCATTCAACGGAAAATATAAAAACTGAGGATTTCCAATCAGACGGGGATAAAGAAAAGTGGCTTTTATTTTATTCATTCCAGATAGGTTCGCTTGGAAACTCATGTACCCTTGTTTCTGAAACGTAGACTGACTCAACAAAATGCGTCAGTCTTATGTTGAAACGCCTCATTCCGCGCAATCATCATTCATGACCGAATAATTACCCCACCTATCTAATCTCCTTCGCAGTTGCACCAGAAACCAGAATCTCATTGCTCCAACCGTTACCCTTTTTCCAGGTCGTCCCAGTGGCGGTTGGCGTGCTGGTGGTAGTCGCCGGTGCTGTCATTGCCAACTACCTTCTCAACAGCAGCAAGAAAGACAAAAGCAAATCCGGCAAGGATGAATCGAAAAAGCCCTCCAGCTCCCAGCTGCGAACTCTGGTCGATTCACAGGAAAAGTACCTGCTTCCACTGATCGAAAAGGAGGAAATCTCACACGACACCCGCCGATTCCGGTTCGGGCTGCCATCGGCGAAGCACATCCTGGGGCTGCCGGTCGGTCAGCACATTCACCTGTCGGCCACCATCAACGAGGAGCTGGTGATCCGAGCGTACACTCCGGTTTCCTGCGACGACGATCACGGCTTCGTGGATCTGGTCGTCAAGGTGTACCAGAAGGGAGTGCATCCCAAGTTCCCGGAGGGTGGCAAAATGTCGCAGCATCTGGAAAGTTTGGCTATCGGTGATCGGATTGCGTTCCGCGGTCCGTCCGGACGGTTGCAGTACCTGGGTAATGGCAAGTTTTCGATCAAGAAGCTACGCAAGGATCCGGCGCAAATTTACGAAGCCGATATGGTCAGCCTGATTGCCGGTGAGTTTGGGTTTCTGCTGTGCGGTGATAAGCGTTATCAGCGAGTTGCGAGATTATTTTTAGCTTGTAGAATGTTTGTGGAAGTGTGTGTGTGTGTGTGTGTGTGTGTGTGTATGTGTTACTGGAAGAATGAGCATGAATTGCAAAAAGAGGTTGTGTGACTCTCAGCTGTTCGTTCAAGGCTCACGAGTAATTTTGCTGATTGGCTTTGCGTGACCTGAAACTGATTCTTCGATTTGTATGGGTGTATGGAGAATGAATCAACGGGAAATCTTTGTTGCTTTGCATTTAAATAAAAGAATTGATCAATTCTAGGTGGAACTGGCATCACCCCTATGCTACAGTTGGTTCGTGAAATCCTCAAGCACGCCGATACGGACAAGACTAAGCTGTCTCTCATCTTTGCTAACCAGGTATGGCAGAATTCAGCATCTCATCGTGACTTCAAAACTAAGCTTTTCCCTTATGCATTTCTAGACCGAAGATGACATTCTGCTTAAACCCGAATTGGACGACCTGGTTGCTCGCTATCCGGACCAGTTCAAACTGTGGTACACCTTGGATCGCCCGAAACCCGAATGGACCCAAGGTCAGGGCTTCATCAACGATCAAATGATCAAGGAGCACCTATTTGAACCATCCTCGAACACTCTGGTGCTGATGTGTGGCCCTCCGCCGATGGTCAACTACGCTTGCATTCCAGCACTGGAAAAGCTGGGCTACCAGATGGATCGTACCTTCGCTTATTAAGTTATTAACAATCTCCCTCACCCGTTCCGAGAACATCGAAAAGACATGGTTCATACATTATTACATTTGAATCTTACAAAAACATGATTGCATTTCCATCTTGATACGTGCTGTGCTGCCGTCTATTCGGAGATCATTACCACCACCTCTTGAACCGCTGCTGACTATCATCGTTGTCGTCGTCGTCGTCATGCGCGCTCAAGTGTCCTCAGTCTGTGTCGTTTGGCGCCGTCGCCTGGCTTTAAAGTGTCGACTTTTACCGTAAATAGGAAGAGCAAAGCAAGTGTAAGACACGGTTTCTAAATTATATTTAACATTGATTATAAATGCTAGGAAAGTAAAAAGACCAAGAGCTAATGCGAACTAACTAGGCCTAGAACTCATTTGCAGGCTCGTAGTGGCTTTAGGGAGGAGTTTGAATGCTATTTAGAGGGCCCATTTTTTTTTTTTTTTGTCTTTATTTTAGAGATTTTTAGCCTGAGGCTAGTTCATCTCTTATTTAGAGGGCCCAGATATTTACCTAACTACCTTTACGGTGGGATTACAAAGCGCTTGCTGTTGCTGTCCAAGACAATGAAGTTACTCTCAAACTAAATAGTGAGCAAAGTTCGTGAAGTACTGGTTAGCACGATTCTTGAATACAGTTGTAGTGTATTGAAACGGTATTTATAAAAGTATATATCACAGATCCTTGAATACTTGTTCAGATTTTTTTTCCAGGAAAGTTACAGGCGAAGAACATTACACATATCTGAACAAGTAAATTCCATGTACTGCTGCCATTGGCGCAGCCACGATTTTTGATTGAAGATGGGGGGAGGTCTATTTGTAGAAATGGAAGCTGATGGAAACTTCATGTAGAGGTTGGAAAGAACTTCCAGAGAAGTCAAAAAAAAAACTTCCGGAGAAAGTTGGGAGAAACTCCCAGAGGAAACTACCCGAATCTGTTGGGAGATAAACATCCAGGGCGAAATAAATTTTCAGACGAAGTCTAGGGTAAGTCAGCTGGAATTCTTGGGGAACTCGGAAGGAGCTTCCAAGAAAAATCGTAAGAATTGTCTGGTGTCATCCAGAAGGAACTTTCGGAGCAAGTCTGGAATCGTAAAACCATGAGAAGTTACCGGAATCCGGTGAAAGTCAGAAGAAATCTTAAAAATCACTCAGTGTCAGTCAGAAGAAGCTTTCGGAGCATGTCTGGAAAAAACGGAGAAGTTTCAGGAATCTTCCAGTGGAACTCGTTCAATCATTCTAATAAAACTGGAACAAGCTTATGAGATGGATAATAACTAGGTAGGTCATGACTTTTCATACACATTTCCTGACAGTTGGTGAAAGGTCATTTGGATTCAAGCTGCTGCACGAGTAAGTTGAACATTTATTAGCTGCGTCGTGGATGATTTGCTTATAATTAATATCGACGGATTTTCACAAAGCTTCCACGGAAAGATGGAAGAAAGGTCAAAATAAAAATCCGGTAGTAGTCTAAAGCGGGCTAAATACACTTTCATGGATTACAGAGAAAACAACTCTTCCGGAGGAAGTTTAGAAAAACTTCCGGGGAATTCCTGAAGACTCTTTCAAAGGAGATCAACAGAAACTTCCGGTTGTAGTTAGAAGATACTCATGAAGGGGAAAATTCTGGAGAAATCGGCTGACACTTCCAAATTGGAAACAAAAAAACATCAATAGTATTTAAAACATCTTCCGAGGTAAATCAAAATATTAAAATTAAATTGTAAGTTTATTTTTTTCCACGAATTTTCAGTTACACAGAAGTTAAGTTTTGCATCAAAATGAGTCGAAATTTTGAAGTGTTATATATGATCAACTGCACAACATTTGGAGATATAATATTCGCCTAAGAAAATGGGAAGACCCCATGAATTAAAAACAACAATGATCATCAAATTTCCTTGTTTAAACACTGATTTTTAATTAGAAACTGTACAATTTTTTAAGCAATCTGTAACATGTGATACAAAATCCATCATAAAAATCAGTGTTGGAAAAATATCAACAAATTAAATCTCATCAAAGCCAGACAAAAGTCTACAAGCACACAACTGCCGTTGATATCACAAGCTGTGATGTCGCAGCAAGGAATATCAAGCTAACAAAACTCACCAGCTGCAAATCTCTTCGAACTGTGGTGAGATTGAGTTTCATGATTTTTGCTTTACACCCGAACGCAACCGAAACTTCCATACACTGAACCAATATGACATATTCCTGTTATGTGGAAGTCTAATAAATTTGCGCTATAAGATAATCCATTGAAAATGATATAATTGAAAATGTGTCAGGTAAATTCTATATGAATATCTGATACATTTACAATGCTGATAATTTGGTAACTTTTATGTGATCGTCATATGATAAATGAAAATCAGTCAAATTATAATAATTAACTGAAATGGATTTGAAACCCATAAGCATAAGCTTTACGTTTCACCACAATATAATATATGTGTCATAAATCAATCGAAGTAAAGTTTATGTGAAAATCACATGAAATTTACTTCTTCTTTTGACACATATATTTAATCGATTTCTAAAAATAAATCGAAAAATAAACATCAGGCAGTGGGAGCTTTCACAGTTGTGTCTTTTTTTATTGTAGCTGATTTGGGATTCGATCAAGAACTGTTGAGGTGTGATGCTTTCGGTTTCTGCGCTCGATTCCACTGGGCCACGGCTGACTTCAAGATTGAGCTCGTTCAATTAGCATGAAGTAAGAACAGCTCTCCCGACATGGAATGCAACTTTATGCTCGTTTTGCTAGAGTGAAGACAAATAGCACTGACAAGTTTATGTTCCGTTTCGGTGGTGTCGTTTGTTCAAATCTTTCTTAATGCGCCTTTGTGCAATAAAACAACGACTAAATTATATGAGTTGATGGAACTGGTTCATGAAGTTCGAGTACTAGGGCTGGAATCTGAATTAGCTGTGTAGAAGGCTTACAATTAGAATCACAGCAAAGTAAATATTACAGTAGAATCATTTTTTTTCAATCTCAATACATTCTTTTCCGGAACCCTTTATCTTATGAAACAATAACAAACAAAGATTATTCAATACAGTATCATTGTTGTTAGCAATATTTACAATATCAACAATATCAACTAATCATTTTAATGAGTGTACGATAACATCGTTGAAAATTGTTTCAATAATTTATGAAGAGCAATCATGTAAGATGTATTTTATTTTGAGCGATATTCATCCCAGAAAAACATGCCAAAACAAATGTTTGCTGTTGGATTTCTTAAAAGGCAAATCTATATGACTATATAATGATTGGGATAAATCTGTTTACAACCTTTAAACCTCAAAAATCAAAGGAAGCTACCCTAATAAAAATTGTATGGTTAATTTGCTTAACGACGTGTTCTGGGTATCATCCTAACCATTTATGGAATAGTTCAATAATTTGGGTTATCGTTCGTTTATGGTTATTTTTTATTAGGGTATTCCAATGAGATATGAGATATACATGTTTTCCTATACTGCAAAGTTAAATGACAGTCCAATAGTTTCTACATGTCTGTTTACACGCGACATATCAACAAACGTCAATTTCTAATAATGCAAACTTATATGATTTTCCATTACTTTCTAGATGTCTGTTCCCACATATATCAACATGACATATCAACAATTTTTCACCATGAAATATATCAGACAATATTCATATACTTTTTACCTATCGCTAACCACATTCGAAGCAAAGTATTATCAAGTACAAAGTATGTGAAATTACGATAGAAATCATTCCATATCGCAGTCATTGTTTTAAAGTGATAATACAATGGAATCTATCAATCATCACATAGAATGAATAAATCTGCTGACATTGCTATGTTATAAGATGGATCCAGTAAACGGTACATGTCGATTTGTTTCAGTGTAGCGACTAGCAGCAGTCGCTTCGTGTCTGCCATCGGTAAAGTTAAAAAAGAGATAGCATTATTATACCTTCTCTTTCTAAGAAAACGAGGTGCAACGGAATCATTTTTGCGTCGATTCAACTCTCAGCTTCAATCGAGGCTTCAACTTTACACGTTGTGAATAGTCTCGCAATATCAAAGGAGCTTGTAAAATCAATATCAAGCATTATATTTTGCTCCAGTATCACGCGTGATATTGAGAGCGTATAAGAGTGGAAATATATCAATTTGCTAATGATCATGCCATCACTGATGAAAATTGCAAAGAATCATCTCTGAAAATTTCAAGTCATTTGGTAATGTGGTTAAAAAGTTACAGCTGTTTAAGTGTGTGGCGTTTATTTCGTGTTCACTCTTTAGATAACTCAAATTGAAAGCTTGATTTATTTGCTTTTCTACCATTTATTCTTTTGATTTTGGATCCACTAAAAATAATTCGACCTTTAGACCTTCTATCCATTTTGTCCATTTAACAATTCAACCATTTGCTTCTCTGTCTGTATCGTACACGCTTAGTTCGGTTCACGTACCCATTTTATTGGTAAAGTCAAGGGGAAATCCACTATGCATACTGTGCCGAAACATATAATGGCACACTTTTCGGCACGCTAGGACGCACGTTGACAAGCATAACACAAAAAATTTAACATAAAACGGCATCACTGTCGAGTGTTGACTTTTTACCACTTGTTGCTAAGGTTGGACTAATCCACTGGGCTTCACGATTGGCTCAAAAGATCTGTAAGTATTTTCTGCACCATGAATCTAGCCAAAACCAACAAATCTCATCCGATTGGTGGTTCGATTCCCGGTAGTGCCAAGGGTCTTCCGGGATGGAAATTTTATCGTTTTCCCCTGCGTTTTTCCTTAGATATTCTTGCCAGTCATTGGTTTCAATTGGGTATGGAGTTCGATGGGAAATTCACAGGACTTTATATACTTCATGTCCATAGACATTCCTGTACTGCTAGCGGATATCGATACGTATTAACCTCAAATATTCCATCCAATCTGGACATGTGTACGGTTGCCTTAACGAAATAGTATAGGATTAATGGGAACAGATCAATGCAATTATATTCCATTCCGTGAACCCGAAAACAAGCAAATACCCATCATCAACGATTTGGCCATT